CTCTTTTATTCCCAATCCACAAACATAGTACAGCCCACAGGGCGTTACAAAACAGCCAATCAATCCATACAATACACCCAGACACTCCCACACAAAATCCTCCCCTCTGGCTGTGATATGATTACTGAACACAATGGGTAATCTAATTATCACAGCCAGAGAAATACAGAGAAATACAGTTTCATAAAACACATCACAGGGACCCCAAAACATGCAATAACCCCATAAAAATATCCTTGGAACTGGGGGATCTGGGTGAACCACATATCCCAAATTCACCCAGATCCGTTCAGTACTTTGGAAAATACAGTTTAATGCAGATTCTGCAGAACATATACAGGCTAAATGAAAAACAATCACTGTATAATGTGTCCCCTGCTGTATAGTCCAAAACCACCGCACGATGTCTCTGTGCAACAAATACTGGCGAGATGGCACCGTGTTGAAAAGTCCACAAAGTGTCTGTTAAAATGGCCGCCATCCATTGTTCTCACCATGTGCTTCTGATACAGGAAATGGTGGCCACCCAGTAACTCCACAGTATGTCCCCAGATGGTTCTTAAAAGGGCTAGCAGCAGCACAACGCAAATCCATTATGCCCAAATCATGTCTTTAAAGGGCAATACATCCCAGGGGCCAGTCACATGGCAGGAGGCTGGCAATCAGTCTTCTCCAATGCCCAGTGGCGAGGTCGGTTTCGCCACAGCCACCAATTGTTAAGACACCCCTGGTGTCTTTAAGAGAAACCACCGTTTAGTTCACCTTCCCCTTTTGCAATATCAGTAATCCATTCGCATCAATTGTAATACACGAACCATAACCAGGGGAAGCGGTAATCTCCCAACCGGGATCCGTGAAAGGCTCCAAACTCCCGAACGGAAATCCACGAACTGCTGCTAGCCGCCGAACAACGATATCCACCAAGAGGCTTTCGGTTCCAATCAGCAGTCTCTAAACGCAAAGAAGAAATACCCCCAATAACGAGACAGAAGCTCCGCATTGAGGGTCAAACAGGATCTGGCTTTACTGTGGGCTACCTGCCCGTATTTATGCAGGTCTCCCACTTGGTGGACTCAGGTCGCTCAGATCCCACACACATAGTTCAATCGCCATGGAGTCAAAGTTCTTACAGTCTTTCGGTATGCGAATGACTCCATGGGAAGGCTATCTGGGTTAAGTCTGTTCATGTGCTGTAAAACTCCCGAACGGCCGGTGTTCGTATGTTTTCGTGGAGGCAGCCAGGCGTCCCGTTGTTTCAGCGGTGTTCGGCAGAAAAAGTGTCAGTTTTTAGTCCCATGAAAATAGAGCCGAACACCGCTGGGCTTTCGTGTGTTTTAAAATGGCCGCTGCCTCGTGGTCGACATACGAACGACGACCACCCTGAATTCGGTTTAATTGAGAAGTGTCTGCGGTTAACCACAACGTTCTAATTGGGATCAATAGGTTAACCAGCAGCACACTTCTCTCCTGGGTGGCCATCCGTTCGGTAGTTTTGTTCGGGAAAAACAGTCATTCGTATGGCTGGGCTATAGGAAACAGCCATTTACACAAAAGTGCAGGAAACAGACGAATCCACCGCAATAGTCAGACGAATGGTTCTGTCACACTCTTTTCTTCCCCTTCATGTTTAATATTCAGGGGGAGCTACAACTAGCAAGGTGCTCGACTAGAATGGGGTATGTCCACTTAAGTGTGTTTAAAACTTTTTCCCTTCTCTCCTCTCCCTTATCCCCCCACCCCCTTCTCTCTCACTCTCCTCTTAGTTTTTCCAATTTGGCACCTTCAATAATCAGATGCCTTTACACCCCTTGCTCATCCAGCCAATGAAAGTATTTTCCACAGAAACGTCACACGAGGCTCTGCTTTTTATAAACAGTTGTCAAAGCATTAAAAACTCACGGCACCCAGTTCAGATTCATCTTGCACCTCCCAGTATAGTCTGGAGCATTCACCCATGCTCACTGACACACATCGTGTATTCCAGAGCTGCCCATCGGGTTTAGTATTTTTC